ATTATGTGTAAAATAACACTTTTTGGACAAAGTTTGACTGAAGTCATGCAGTGAGCATTCTAAATCTTAAGTTAAATAATTTATATTTTTTATGTACTCTATATGCTAATAGCTATAGCTCTCAGGATCATTTTTAAACAATGTATAGCTAACAAAGCAAAACTATTGAAGCCAATGAACTTATACTTCATAATTCACAAAACTAATAGGGATTTTTATATATATATATTAACTAAATAATAAATCCTAACCTTTCAGACATGAAGTTCACAGAGTGAATTTGTTAATTCAAAGCCACATCTTTTTTTTTTTCTCTTAGGAAAAGCAAAACTCTTCTGTAATTACTAAACTGTGATACGAACTTTCACAAAATCTAATAATCATGTCATTAGATTCTTTTCAATTACGAGCCTTGGAAAAATGGCTAAAATAATTATCATACCACAACATATAGATATAAAAGATGTATATATTGAATATAATTTGTTTAACAAGTATTTTAATGACAGCAACAGGTTAACTTTATAATAAATAAAAGATGTATATATTGAATATGATTTTTTTAACAAGTATTTTAGTGACAGCAAAAGGTTAACTTTATAATAAATACAACATGTATATATTGAATATGATTTGTTTAACAAGTATTTTAATGACAGCAACAGGTTAACTTTATAATAAATAAAAGATGTATATATTGAATATGATTTCTTTAACAAGTATTTTAATGACAGCAAAAGGCTAACTTTATAATACTTTTCTAATAAATACACCACAACCTTCACATATGTAAGTTTGAATTTTAAAATTCATTACATATTAGCTCCTACATATGAAAATTTCATTCTCAAGGAGTTATTTTTTAATAATTACGCATATATTCTTCCACTGTTTAAAATTAGAAATAACTAAAGAAACAAAAACATGCCTGGTTGATGTTGTAGTACCAGTAGAAGTTACTTTAGATGTTTCACGTGTCTTCTTTCCCATTTTTTCCTCTCCAAGCTTATGTTCCAAATTTAGTTTTTCTTTTTTCAAGCTAAAAAAACAGAAAGAGTCATAGAGGGATACACAATGGCAGTGTTCTGATAATTTCCAGCCAATTGCATATTTTATTTCTTCTGCAAAAAAAAGTATCAACCACCAGGTGTACCCTCGTACCAAATTTCTGTTCGTTGCATTGCAAAAAAAATTAAACTGTAAAAAAGAAGTATGATATAGTAAACTAAACAATAAAACTACTTTTATTATAAGTAAAGACACTAGGATGAGTCTTAGAACTATTATACGACTCAAAATCAATATATACATGAAAAAAAAATTATGTAATTATCTAGGATTCTGAAAAGAAAATGAGAAATTTAAAGCTGAGAATTTTGGACAGTGGAAAGTAACATTATTTACTTTTCATGTATGTATACATAAAAAGAAGTAAATCATGTTTTCAGCTTTGTGTGAATATTGAAGGCAACAAGTCCCTAAAGAATGAACATGTAATATGCTAATAAAAAAAAATTAAAATAATTAATCATTTCAAAAAGTTATCCATTTCAGTAAAATTCTCTCTTATTTTAGCATTTTTTACTTATCAGTTAGGATCTATTTTAAAAGACAATCTACTGTGATCACCCTTGGAAAACAAGTATTATTTTAAGATCAAAACAAGAGTGAACAGTTTTAGAACCTACCAAGTGAATATGGTCTCTCAACTCCTCCAATTCTCGAGCTAATCTTTCATTTTCACTTGCATACCCGGCCATATCCATTTCCATCTTTAGACGCAGTTTCTCCATTTCTTCTAACATGGCAGCTCCATTCTGTTGTTCCTTTTCATCTGCTTCTTTCTTAGCCTGAGCTTTGGCTTTCTCTAGGTCAATTTTAAATTTTTCATGTAATTCCCTAACCTCAACCTGTCAAGGAATTTCAAAATAGAATGAGAGAAAGAAAAAATGTGTAAACATAAATAAATATTATCACAGTAAACATTTCCAGATTACTAGGATGAACATAGAATTTAATATTAAAAATCTCCAATCCCATGTACTAATAATGTACACATGCTGATAACCTATCAGCAACTACACAAAAATGGGGTTAACCCTTTCTTAATCAACAGTTATTACCATTAAAGAAAGAAAGACCTAGATAAGTGGTCATAATACAATGCGATTTTATAAAACTACTTAATTAAGAAGATGTGAGCAATCACAAAGGCAAGAACTATGAATACTTAAATGTGCCATTGAAGATAGTTATGAAACCTGCTTTAATAAGTTCTTGTCCTTCTGGATTACTTTTACATAAAAACATGTTAGGGTTAATTGTTCTGTTATATAAGTTATTACCTTTTGTTTTTCCTTTAGTATCTGAAGGTCTTCTTCACTTATACTTACACTCAAAATATTGTGATCTTTTTTTGTCAAGCTTTCTCTGAAAGTTGCAAATTTAAAAAAAGGAGTCAAAAAGAATTTTACCATTCAATAATCTAAAATAATCAAAACAGAATATAAATTCTTTTAATAGAATAAATTACAATATTTTTTATAAAATCAGCATTAAATTACTTAAATAATATATCTAGTCACATTTTTACCAAGAGAAAATACAAAAGGGAGTGCGACGAAACATTCAGTGAAGAAAACTACTTTTATGTTGAAGTATTAACTTGAGAAGTTTCATATACACCCTTGTAAAAACTGTCAGCATATTTTATTTTATTATATTTTACACATAATAACAACTTTTATGTTAAAGTATTAACTTGAGAAAAGTTTCATATACACCCTTGTTAAAACTGTCAGCATAATATTTTATTTTATTATGTAAAACATATTCGTGGTTTAAAATACTTGCTAATGACCAGTAGCTTGGTGTTTGTGTATATATGTATATATTAAACCTATATGTATTGTGCACGTGTATGTTTCTTGCCTTCTTGGCAGAAAATTCGAGAATGATCTTTATCATCTTGTATCAAGACTTCTTGAACCTACGTGTTTTACTGACTTCTATTTTAATATTTATATTTTTTTATAACCCACAGAAAAATAATCTCAGTAATGGTATTATCACTTACATTGTTTCATCAACACACTTGTCTAGAGTAATGGTATTATCACTTACATTGTTTCATCAACACACTTGTCTAGAGTAATGGTATTATCACTTACGTTGTTTCATCAACACACTTGTCTGGAGTAATGGTATTATCACTTACATTGTTTCATCAGCACACTTGTCTAGAGTAATGGTATTATCACTTACATTGTTTCATCAGCACACTTGTCTAGAGTAATGGTATTATCACTTACGTTGTTTCATCAGCACACTTGTCTAGAGTAATGGTATTATCACTTACGTTGGTAAGTGATAATACCATTACTCTAGACAAGTGTGCTGATGAAAGCAAATAATCATGCAGCAGCTCTCCACCAATAGGAGCGCTAAACACCACTTCTATCAATAACCAGCACCCTCTTCATATCTGCATTCGTTAATCACTTCGAGATTGGTCAAAAGACCTACACTATATATCATTAAAAGTGGGGAGGATTGGTGGGAAATGTTAGAGGAGATAAGTACCTATTGGAAATTGAATAATGCTAACTTCCAATACAATATCTTACCTCCCCTCACAAAATAGCCAGAATACCACACTGAACTGGTGGAGAACCGATAAAAAAAAAATGATCCCCCTTTAGGAATGACCAAAGAGAGACAAGGAGAGTGTGGGAACAAAAGAAAAACATCACATCTCAGCAGGAAACCGCACGACATCTGGTCCAGGTATACTCTTCGCTCTATTATGGCAGTGTCATGAAAATAAAAGGAGATAAGGAATCCCACAATATGTACGACCGATAAAAATGGGACTCCACGTCTCCTACAACCAAACACCAGGTCTACCAGGAACTGACAACCAGCAGGTGGTAGGAAAAGGGACCGCAAACCTGGGATGCATCTCCAGTCCAAAACCTGGTGGCAGTGGGCTTTTGTGGGAGGAGGGACACCAACCTGAGTAGTTACTTAGCTGGACCATGTCCAACCAACACTGGACCCACTGGAAATGTACATCCAGAAGATGGTAGGAGGGAGGAATGCCACGTAGGAAAAAACAATCGGTCAGATATATAGACAGGAATACGGCATAGTGCTACAACCAAAACCGGACTCATTGGGAATGTACATCCAGAAGATGGTAGGAGGGAGGAATGCCACGGTAGGAAAAAACAATCAGTCAGATATATAGACAGGAATACAGCATAGTGCTACAACCAAATCCTGGCAACATCTGGAATTGTACATCAGGTCCACAGTAGGAATGACTATAACGTAATTGACATCAAGCACGGTCGTAGGATGGACAGTGCAGATTTTCAAAAAAAAAGTATACCTGGTCAGGCACCACTTGCTACAGAGTGGGATTCACAATATAATAATAAAAGGTTCCTGAAAAAGTAAGAAAAGTTTGGAAATAGCAACCTTTCAGACTACCAAAACCCAAAAAATTAAATATATGGTAAAGAAAAACTAAGTCAGTAGTATAACGGAAAACACTGACAAATCTGCGAGCAAAAACCAGCACATCTGTACAGTATTACTGCCAATCGAGAAGTTATTAATGAGTGCAGATGTGAAGAGGGTGCTTGTTATGAGAGGAGTGGTGTCGTGTTCTTACTGGTGTAGAGCTGCTGCATGAGCATTGACATGTGGATATGCAGAAGTGGGAGGTGGAAAGATAGTGTCAAGCATTGAAAATTTGCACCAATAGAGGACAGTGCTAGTCGAGAAAAACCTATTTTGTGAACAGAGGTAAGATATCGTATCAGTACACAATTACATCCTTTTTGGTTTCTACTATTGGTACCAACACTTAATATACAATATTTTGATAATTACATTTAAAAAAATGATTTTACATGTATATGGCAATACATATACATCATTAATAGCCTTAATTACATACATAACAAGACTAGAAACTAATTTTTTGGCCATTGGCAAATAATCGCCTGTTACTTCAGAGACACCTAGCAAAAGTTCCAGCCTCACTAGCAAATAAATACGACATCATGAGTTGCATGCCCTTAGTCAACATAACCAGTCAGCTGATATCAATCTTCAAAAAAATGACATCTGACAAGGAACATTTTAATCTGGTTAAGATTAGGGTTAAGTTCAGCTTGAGATGTTAATTTATTTTATAGGAACTTATCTATTGTTTCATGGGACAACTGCACAGTGTCATACTTGACCACGTATACAGAAGGATACTTTGCAACTGGCCATGGAACAGAAATATTTCTGTATTTTTTCTGATGGGTCAACTACAATAAGAATGTGTATTATAAATACAATTTTAACACTTTCAGATTAAATTCATTCTGACCTATGAGAGGAGTAGCATCATTTCTTTTATCTAAGGGTCAGAACTCACTGTGAAGTCCTGCTGTTATTATAGACAAATAAAAAATCTATTAGAAAGGGATAACTGATCAGTTATTGTAGCATGGGTTTTCCTAAATGTTGTCCTGCAGCCAGAATTTTCTTTACATATATTATTACAATAATTCTGACCATTGTTTACAATTGTTCTGAATATTCATAATCAGTTTCATTACCAAGTGGTAAAAAAGGCCAGTATCTCTTCATGCCACTGGCTAAACTCTAAAGGCTACTGCCATTTTGCCAGCAAGACACCATTAATTTCGAGCCCTGCATGTTCATAGTAGTGGTATAATACTCAACTACTTATTAGTTAAGATTCAAATGAAAGAGCTAAGCCTACAATATATATTACGCGTAAATCCATACAACCAACTAGTCGTGTCTAATGACATACTTCAGTTTCATTATACACACAAACTCTTTGAAAACAAAAAACAGTCCTTTGCATGCTATGCACAAAAGGAGGAGTTAGGATTAGTTTCATGCAAACAAGTACATTTTTTAGTAAATATTGTTAATACTGAAAACACACAATACGCATCAGCAGCCATGCTGTAACACATTCAGAAAACAATCTCTGGAGTTGCTCATCGTTGCTAATACTCTGTTGCACACATGTAGCTAGTTAATCATGCATCAAAAACTGGAACCGATTTTACCGATGGTGCAAATTTCCCGCAGTTACCAAACCGTAGAATGTTTCTTTTGAATAAAACAAACATCTAATGTACAAATGTTTATACCAAATAACATTCATATAAAAATATTCACGAGTATAAATTAACTTTCACTACTTAAATCGATTTTAAATGTTGGATTCAGAGAACAAACTATACCCTAACCACTATCTGGTTTATTTAGAAACTTAACTAAAGCTCTTGATAAAGTTCTTTATCAACAGTATGATTAGAACATCTTTTGATCAGATACTGTACCACATGAAAGAAGGACAAGTGTGTTGATGAAACAATATGTGGTGTGCATTGAAAATTTGTGCCGATAGAGGGAAGTACTAGTCGAGAAAAGGCTATTTTGTGAGAGGAGGTAAGTATCTATTGGAATTACATTTGTAGTGTAGGAAATGCTAACTTTCAACAGTTATTAATGTTTTTATCAAATTCTGGTAATTCTAAAGAAATAAAATAATTACAAGAACATCATAGCATTAATTTTTTGGTTCAGTAAACATTATTTTTAATAGCACATTTGTCATAAAAATGAGTATCTTAAATGTTGTTTGTTTGTATAAAGTACTTTCTAAAGAGAAAAGATTAGGTTTGTTATGGATACTCCACAAATTCATATAGATGTATTGGTGAGAAATATAATTTCTGAAGGTTACTTACACATAAAATACTTTATAATCTGGGTTAT